CACGTGTGTGTGTGTGTGAACACGTGTGTGTTAACACGCACACATGTGCGTGTGTGTGTGAATACGCGCGTGTGCGTGTCGGAAAGTGTTCAGCCTCTGCAGCTTCGAGTGGAATTCTGCAGTGGCCGCTTTGAAAGTCGACATCAACTCATGCGTAAAAGCTCACCGACTGTAACATTTTAAAAGCACACATACACAAAGAGAATAAGGCATCGAGACCAGTGTCGTCGCTTCCTTCCTTCTGATAGATCAGGGCTCGGCAAGCAAAAGAAACCTCAACATTTCAGGAGCCGCAATGCATGTGAGCAGGAGACGGCGGTGCTTGATAAAGAATAAACACGAAATAATAAACACTAAATAATAAACAATTGTCCAAGAGCGACACTTCCAGTCTCGCGTCAAAATCTGTGAACGACGAGAGAGATTTCCCATCGCCATAGCAGAAACCAGACGTTCAAACAACACTCCGAGCCACGTGCTAATCGCTCCTCCGATTCGATGAGCGCGGTTGGCTACGTACGGCGCGAAAGAAGTTCAACAGGAAGCATAACCATTCGTGTGGAAAGTGCACACCGCCTTTTGTGCATTCACGCAAAAGTCACCAGAAGCGCTCAGTGATACCTGAACCAGTCCCGAACGTTTCCTTCGCCAACCCGTATTGACCAGCGTGGTGAAGTATGGTTAAAAATATTCCCCCCGCCTCACCACCCCCACGGCGTGGGGAGGCCCTCATCCAGCAGTGGATTGACACAAAGGGATAATAAATACATGTCCCGTATTCATGCACGATGCGACATATCTGGATATGGTGTGTAAGTGAATGCTGAAGGGTAGACATCGGACTGCATTATTCCCGTAAACGTCTTCGAGGCTCTATTTTCAACACAAACAGCTGTCTCACCCTTCCCAATTAACAGTTACTAAATCTGTGACGGGACTCCATGTTGGCTCTATATAGGTCAACATGATGACAAATGTCATCGCCGTAGCTTGGGTTCACTTGGTCAACTGCCACGCGCGTTCATCGCCATTCGCTCCGTGGTCGTCGCGAGAGGGATGACGATGGCTGTGGTGGTGGTGGTGGTGGAGGTGGTGGTGGAGGTGGTGGTGGAGGTGGTGGTGGTGGTGGTGGTGGAGGTGGTGGTGGAGGTGGTGGTAGTGGAGGTGGTGGAGGTGGTGGTGGTAGAGGTGGTGGTGGTGAAGGTGGTGGTGGTGGAGGTGGTGGTGGTGGTGGTGGAGGTGGTGGTGGTGGCACGCCGCGTGTGAGCCTCGTGCAGCGCCGCACGGTGCCACGGGCGCGTTCATTACGGAGACTTGCGAAGGGGAGTTGACACGCAGGACCAGGAACAACAACAATCACTTTCGCCAAGTCCCGAACGCCGCCCATCAACTCGAGGATTTTAATAAGAGAGGTCGCGTCCGTGCCACACATCACGACACGGTGACTCCTTACACGCGTCTCATGGCAACTGTGTTGACCGGGGAGACATTTCTCCTGAAATATTTTCCAGAGCCCCCCACCGCATCTCCCTGTGTGGATTATCACTCGCCACTGATGTTAACAGTGGCCAGGAATCGAGCTCAGGTGGCAGCAGTTAGCGCAATTCGAATTGCGCTAACTGCTGCGCCACCGCTCCACCCCACTGTGTTAATGTGCAGCCTGTACGATGTTATACCACAGCGGCATTCCGACAACACTTGGCACACGCTGTCCTGATTTGTTTTAATGCTAAAACAAACACAAGTGCTGTTAGCGAGCGCCTATTAAGGCTGACACGGCACAGGCGCGGGCGGGTGGCCAGCGCGACACCCACACGCAGTTACAACATATCTCCCGTTTGTACTCGTGGGCTCCAGGGTGTAAGTGCTGTTAGCGAGTACCTATTGAGTCCGAGACGGCAACCCTGCGGTGGCGAGGCCAGAACCACGCCCGACCGTCTTTGTCTTCCCGCTACACCAGGTAGGACACCAGGTAGGACACTTATTACGGCGAAGTCGACCTCGTCTGAGCGTGGCCAGAACGCCGCCACCCTGGGTCGTCTTTGTTGTTTAACAAACCGCGCTGGGCAGGACATACTTTTAAGACTGAGTCGACCTAGGGGAGGCTCGCTACAGGTTTGGCTATCACATTTCATGGAGAATTTGAGACAGGTGCCATCCAGACATCCTCCCGACGTCCTTCCTTGCGGAAGAGGTACGTAGATGACAAGTTCGTCATCTGGCCACATGGCCGGATGGCGCTATACAAATTTCTCAACCACATCAATTCCATACACCCATCTATCAAATTCACCATGGAAGTGGAAAATGATGGCAACCTACCATTCCTGGATGTTTTGATCGAGAAGAGACATGATGCCTCGTTGGGACACTCTGTCTATAGGAAAGCCACCCACACGGATTCCTATCTAAAGCCTGACTCCCACCACCATCCAGCCCAGAAGAATTCCCTTAGCAAAACACTACACCATAGGGCCCGTTGCATCTCCGACCAGCACCACCTAGCCAATGAGCTTGAACACGTATGCCAAGTTCTCAGGAAGAATGGATATTCTGACCGCACAATCCGCAAAGCTGCATCCCCAACCATGGGTAGAGAACCATCTGAGGACCCAATAAAAACCATCACCTTACCATACATAGCAGGGGTCACCAAAAGGATTGCCAAAATCTTAAACAAACACAAGATCCAAGTTCGGTTCAATACAGTACACAAAATCCGTCATTTGATCCCATCGGTGAAGGATGCGATTTCGGACATGCAATGTCCTGGTGTCTATAAGCTGCGTTGTGTCTGCGGCAGCAGTCACATTGGTGACACGAAGCGACGTGTCTCAGACAGGGGTCGCGAACACAAAGCGGATTTGAAACACGGCAGAACCAACACCTCGGCGGTGGCGGATCATTGCTTCAACGCTGTGGGCACACGCGATGACGCTGTGGGCACACGCGGTGGCATTGTGTTCTCCGAGACCAAGGTGCTCTGCAAACCCTCGAGCCACCATCAGAGATTTGTTCACGAAGCCATCCAGATAAACAAACACAGACACAACTTTAATCGAGAAGAAGGATTCAGATTGAGCAATCATTGGAAGGATGTGATAAGCCGCGTTAAGTTTTAACTGCCATGATTGTCAGTCACCCACCCGTGGGTCTTGTTGTCCGATTACTACAAGTCCATTTACTTGATAATCTCTCCAGCCCCACCCGTCCATGCACGCCACAAACTCCCCCCCCCCTCTTCCCTGTGAACCCTACAGCCAAACTCCCCCTCCCTCCTCCCGTGCCTAACCCCTACAGCCACACTCCCCCCCCCCCCCCCCCCGTGCCTAACCCCTACAGCCAAACTCCCCCCTCCCCCCCCCGTGCCTAACCCCTACAGCCAAATTCCCCCCCCTCCCCCCCGTGCCTAACCCCTACAGCCAAACTCCCCCTACCGTGCCTATATAAAGCCACAACAGCAGATACTTTTTTCACCTGAAGACGGCCGCTTGTGTTGCGACCGAGACGTGGTGTTTTATGATGATTATCATCTTCGTGCCTTTACCGTTATGAACCAGCGAGTATGTGATTCCTGCAGTCACGACAGCTTCACATGAAGATTGAGTGAGTGAGGTTGTGCAAGGGCGTGGACACTCTGCGCCCTTTAAACTGGACACCTCCTCGCGAGCGCGACTCGGACCGTGCAGATGAGGGCCGTAAAACAAAGGGAGATAAATCGCCCTCGTGATAAAGTCGCATTTCTAGTGACACTAGTTCACAACACGTGCTCAGCCCACTGCTGGATGAATGCCGTGTCGGCGTCTGAGTTTGTTCCACAGTTCGCTGACCGGTGCGAGTTTGTGAAGGGGAGGAGCGATTCAGATCTCTCTCTCTCTCGCATCACTGATGTTGACCACGAGGAGTGCGCTGCGCCATGGCCACTGCGCCCGTCGCCCGCCCAGTAGTGAGACAAGTTAGAGGCGCAGCCCTGCAATGACTTATTGACACACCTCCGATTAGCACGGTCGACGACGTCGTTCAACACACACAGAGCAACTGCAGATTAAACAAGCCATGTGAAAGACCCCCTCGTCTAATCATCACCGTCGGCCTTGGCCAATCCACTGCTGGACGAATGCCCCCGGAGGCCCACCACTCGTCGTCCGATGCAGCAATCGCCACCACGAGTGTGCCTGAGCTCCAGTGCTGGAAGCCGCATTCGTATCACTATGCACGGGACGCTCCAGACGCAACTCAGTCGCAGTTGCAGGCGGTCGTGCACCTCTGAGAAATGCGCGTGTCAGTCAGCAGCAGCAGCGCTCGCTGTTATTAGTCCACGTGAGTGCCGGGTTCACGCAGAAGCAGCACGCGGCCCCTGGGAGAGACGTGGAGGCCCACGGCCGCGTTCTCGCCGCGACTCGGAAGACGCTCCGCCAAGGAAGACGACAACCGTCACAGCTGCTGCCCCCGTAGTGTTCGACAAAGTTGAACAAACGTCTACTGGATTATGATGTGCACCCAACACTTTTGCTCCGACTTGGGGGGTAAAACGGTGCTTCTTATATTCCGGAGAAGAGGGTGTGTACGCGAGGCTGATGTCTCCACCAAGCATATTGCACACACACACACAGACGCAACAACTACAAAGACGAACACCCCCCATGTCGGCATTCGCAATCTGCTGAGGGCAGTGGCCGTGAGCGAGTAGCACCTCAGAAGGCCGAGGCGGGGAACAAGCTGCGGCCAGAGCCACGCCCGGCCGCCTTTGTCTCCCCAGTGCCGAGTTGTTGTTTGGCACACACAGCACCGGGCACTTGTTTGAAGGCTGAGTCGACTTAGGAGAGAGTTGCAGGAGTGGCTACAACATCGCTCGCCACTGACGTTACAGAGCAGCCAGGAATCGACCTCGGATGCCAGGATTCGAGGCAGCGTGTGCGCCTAACCATTGCGCCACCACTCCGCACCGGTGCTGGAGAGCGACTTCGTTCCACCGCCCCCCAGAGGCGTTCTTCCTTCACGAGACGCAGAGGCGGATTGCGACACCGCTGGTCGTAGTGACCGGCAAATCCGATCAGCTCCACAGCCTCCTCGACCACATCAGCCCATGTCTTATCTAGCCCATGCCGCGCCCGTTTAGCCCCCCTCTATCTGGCCAATAAAGTCAAGTTCCCCGTAATAGTCTGCGCAGATTGTTGGGGCAAGTGCTGTTAGCGAGCAGCGATGAAGGTCGGCACATCACGCGAGGGAGTGGGTGGCCAGAACCACACTCGGCCGCCTTTGTCTCCCTCATGGCAATGATGTTTAGACACTTACCAGGTACAGTACTCAATTTGAGGCTGAGTCGACTTAGGGGAGTCCCAGGACCCGTTAATATAATCGTCACTGGTGTTGGCCGTGATCGGAAATCGAACTCGGGTCGCCGGGTTCGTAGCGCAGTTCACTCACCAGCGCACCACCGCTCCCCACTATACACACACAGACACACAAACACACACACAGAGACACACGAACACACAGACACACACACACAGACACACACAGACACAGAGACACGAACACACACAGACACACAAACAGAGACACACACACAGACACACACAGACACACGAACACGCACACACAGACACGAACACACACAGACAGACAGACGAACACACACACACACAGAGACACACACAGAGACACACACAGACACACACACACACAGAGACACACACACACACAGAGACACACAGAGACACACACACACAGAGACACACACACAGAGAGACACACACACACAGAGACACACACAGACACACACAGACACACACAGACACACGCACACACAGAGACACACACAGACGCGAACACGCGCGCAGCGAGCGGCAGAGTAACGAGTTAAGTCTTAACCGCGCCCCATCCCGAACGTCACCCTCCCTGGGCGACTTAAAGCCACCGCCGCCACCACAGCGGCCACGAGTACGCAAATGAGAGCGCCTCTTCCCAGTGATTGATGAGCTAACAGGACGACCCGAGGCAGCTATTTACAGAGGAAGGGGTGGTGGGAAGAGTTGAGGCCACGATCCAACCACTGCCACACACACACACACGCGCGCGCCACAGGCACTCATCACAACTTTCCAACCGAGCGCCGCGCCAGGAGATCGAACGTTGACAGCTGCCGCTTCGAGCACGAAGGGCACAGGGGGTGGTGAGAGGGTATCGGTGCGAGGCGCTGGGAGGCTCTTGGAGTGACACTTCGGTTCACGCACCTGGCACAAGGTAAGACTCTCATTCCCACCGCTTCACTGACAGCCCACTCTCGTCAATCCACTGCTGGATGAACGCCTCCCCACGTCGCTTCGGCCATGGGTGGGGGTGAGAGGGAGCGAGCGAGGTTGTTTGGACATACTTCACCACGCTGGCCAGTGCGGGTTAGTGAATCAGAATCTTGTTTGAGACTGGAGGAATCCGATGAGCTATGAAGCGCTTTTTTTTACAGATGTCCAGTCGTGAAGGAGAAATCGCCACTGATGTTATAGCCGTGGCCGGGAACATCTCACCCAGCTGGCTGGGTTCATAGCGCACTGACCTAACCACTGCGCCACCGGTCCTACCGTGCCAATGGTTGGTTTTCAATGAATGTATGTTTACAATGAATGTATGTTTAAAATGAATATATGTTTACAATGAATGTTTGTTTAAACCAGACGTTGATGTCTTAGACCCAGATGGGCAGTGAGCTGATGAGGCATGTTCTCAGACAACGTTGCGGAGAGCGAGATGAAAATGCCCCACACGGACACGAGATTCGAAGCACAATTATCTCCAAGTGACTCCGCTAAGTTACATTTGAAGTGGAATTAAGTGCATCCACTGATTTTATTTTAAGAGGGGCGGAGAGGTGGGGGGGGGGAGTGGTGGCTCAATGGTGAGCGCAGTGCGCTCATCAACCCCTCCACCTAAGTTGAGTTAGATTCTATCACGGCTGATGTCTGATTGATATCTCCAGCCGGTCCTGAGTACTCCTACCCTCGCTACTCACCGACGTGGTGGGGAAGTATGGTCAAACAACCCCCATCACCGTCATGATGTGGGGGAGGTGTTCATCCAAACGTAGATTGACGAAGAACTGTAAAATACTCTTGTAACTTTGTCATTCAAAGCGACGGAACTGAATTGTCTGTCGAGTGTACATTAGTTGACATCACAGATATGGAATGTTCCTTAGGGGGGGGCTCTTAACCCACCCTACTATACATTATTTTAGCGAAATTCAATTCTGATGTTACATGTATTGTACGATATAGACTCTGTCCTTGTTGGAGTCAGACAGAGGCAGGATGCCGCAGTGCTCAAACAAGCGGCAGGGCGATTCACATCTCCTTTGGCAACCCCTGAGCCGGTGGTGGAAATTCCGCATTCCCGTGGCGGGGTCAAGTGTATCCATAGGGTAGCCGCCGTGTGACTTGCTACAAAAGTGTCGCTCTCCCTTGAAATGATGATGGGTGGATCGCAGCCCAGGTTAGGATTGTAACTCGCAAGCCAGTCGAGCGCTCTGTATCCGCGATAATCCGGTGCGACGTCTCACAACCGAATATACAAACTGTCTATTGAACTGACGTTTCGGGTAATGGCCCTTTGTCAGAGCAGATGGAGAGAGGGCGATCATGTTGTGACGCATCGCTGAAAGCGGCTTTTTACAGTGTGGTGCCTTCGGCATATACCCTCGTCTGTTTATAAATATTCATACTGTACAAATCACCCTAGAGATGTTTAATGTTTCTGTCACTTAATTTTGCAATTGTACTATGATATGTCCAAAAATAATCGGCCCGAGTCAACTTACGCTCCAGGGAATGTATAGCTGTAGTTGACGTTGCTAAGTATTTTGTGCGATATTTCCATGTTTTTTTGTGACACGGTTGTTTTTGCAACGATTTCTATTGACTCCATGCCTCCACTTGAGTTTGTTTTGAGTTTGTCATCTCGGTGAACCACGTGGCTCAGGCGAGTGCGACTCCATCCTGGTCGCTCGACTTCTCTCAATCGACGTGGGCGACAATATCGTGACTGAGCTTTGGAGCCTGCAGTCTAACACTGAGCACTTCAGGAAAATCAGAAGATATTATAGATGTTATAATTATACGTAGCAAGCAAATAAAAGTATTCTGAAAAAAATCTTCGATTAAAAGTAGATAAATGAAGACAGTAACCATATTCGCAACGTCTAATATATATGTAATAAACCACCATTAACCAAACGCTGCCCGCATGCAGAGCGTTAAGGGCAGTCTGACTCGCAGACAGAAGTTAAATACAACACTGACTCATACTTCGCTAATCAGTCGCTATCCGTGTGAAAGTACGTGCTGGAAATACTCTCAGCGTGGTCATTAACACGCCCCGTCTATACGACTACGAACAATCGTAAACAGGTAAAACAATAAAGTACTGCCGTTTGTCAATCCACTGCTGGATGAAGGCCTCCTCCCAGCACGCATCGTTTCACCATCCTTCAGCAAGCTGATTGCTGCCGGTTGGTGAAGAGAGAGGGGAGCCCAGGATCGCTCCACGGATCAGTCGCTCCACGGATCAGTCGGTCTGCAGATCAGTCGCATCACAGTTCAGTCGCATCACAGATCAGTCGCTCCACGGATCAGTCGGTCTGCAGATCAGTCGCATCACAGATCAGTCGCATCACAGTTCAGTCGCATCACAGATCAGTCGCTCCACGGATCAGTCGGTCTGCAGATCAGTCGCATCACAGATCAGTCGCATCACAGTTCAGTCGCATCACAGATCAGTCGCTCCACGGATCAGTCGGTCTGCAGATCAGTCGCATCACAGATCAGTCGCATCACAGTTCAGTCGCATCACAGATCAGTCGCTCCACGGATCAGTCGGTCTGCAGATCAGTCGCATCACAGATCAGTCGCATCACAGTTCAGTCGCATCACAGATCAGTCGCTCCACGGATCAGTCGGTCTGCAGATCAGTCGCATCACAGATCAGTCGCATCACAGATCAGTCGCTCCACGGATCCACTGATCAGTCGCTCCACAGATCGCCCCTCGCGCTCGCCGTGCCTGACGACTCGAACCGAGCGGCGGCTGCGTCAGTTCGAGCCGTGCGCGCTCGTCGATGCGACACCGTCTCCCCCCCGGCCCCCCCCCCCCCGTCCCACCGCCAACCCGCGTTGTCGTGACCCGTACGGCTGCCCGTGTCAAAACGTCGAAGGTGACGACCGTGTCGATGATGTCACTCCTTGTCTGCCCGAGCGCAGTGTCTCCGCACTCGGGTCTGAGCGGGTCGCGCGATGGGCGATTGGAGCTTCCTCGGGAGGCTCTTGGAGAACGCGCAGACGCACTCCACCGTGGTGGGCAAGGTCAGAGCCCGTCCGCACCGCACGCAGCCCTCACTCGCCGCGCGTAGCCGTGGCCAAGGTGTGAGTGTGTGTGAGTGTGTGTTCACGTGTGAGTGTGTGTTAATATGCGTGTGTGTGTGTTAATGTGTGAGTGTGTGAGTGTGTGTGTGTTAATGTGTGAGTGTGTGTTAATGTGAGTGTGTGTGTGAGTGTGTGTGTGTTAATGTGTGAGTGTGTGTTAATGTGAGTGTGAGTGTGTGTGTGTTAATGTGTGAGTGTGTGAGTGTGTGTGTGTTAATGTGTGAGTGTGTGTTAATGTGTGAGTGTGTGTGAGTGTGTTAATGTGTGTGAGTGTGTGTCAATGTGTGTGAGTGTGTCAATCTGTGTGTGTGTGTCAATGTGTGTGTGTGTGTTAATGTGTGAGTGTGTGTTAATGTGTGAGTGTGTGTTAATGTGTGAGTGTGTGTTAATGTGTGAGTGTGTGTGTTAATGTGTGTTAATGTGTTAATGTGTGAGTGTGTGTTAATGTGTGAGTGTGTGTGTGAGTGTGTGTTAATGTGTGTTAATGTGTGAGTGTGTGTTAATGTGTGAGTGTGTGTTAATGTGTGAGTGTGTGTGAGTGTGTGTGTTAATGTGTGTTAATGTGTGAGTGTGTGAGTGTGTGTTAATGTGTGAGTGTGTGTTAATGTGTGAGTGTGTGTTAATATGCGTGTGTGTGAATGTGTGAGTGTGTAAGTGAGTGTGTGTTAATGTGTGACTGTGTGTTAATGTGTGTGTGAAAGTGGGTGTGTGTGATTCGATTCCCGCTCACGGCCAACACCAGTGACATTATCTGAACCGGTCCCGGGCCTCCCCTAGGTCGACTCAGCCTCAAACGAGTACCTGGTGCGATGTGTAAAACATCGCCACTAGGGAGAGAAAAAGCAGCCGGGCGTGGTGTTGGCCACCCACCCCCTCGTTTGCCGTGCCGGCCTTCATAGGTGCTCGCTCACAGCACTTTCCCCAATCGTATGTTGAGGCTATAGGGGGCATCTTTGTCTTGGTGAGTGGTGCTCGGAGCGGACCCACTCTGGGTGTCCGGACAGCCCGTTCGTTTCATCAACTGCTCAGAGACACTCGCAACGTTTATTGCGAAAAGAAACCCCACAACATTTTAAATATGGCCAACAGACAACCACACATTGATTTTATTCCGGATAAGAGAATCCCCCCCCCCAACATTTTTTCTTGGCTAATAGACACCCATACATTGTTATCACGTGGCTAAGAGAGACGCACAAGATGCTGGTCTCGAGTCAGGGCAAGTCAGAGGAAGTCCCGTGTGTTTCTCGCTGTAACAAGGCGACGTGGTGGGGACGATGATCACGCTGATGAGGGGCCTCTCTCTCTCACACAGCAGTCGGCGCAGTGCTGAGTCAGTCACCTGCAGTAATTGCGTAGATGTAATCCACTGTATGGTAATTATAGAGCCGTATAACTCATTTTGTCCGTGGCGTGATGAAGTGGGGGCCAAATTCACGGACCCTATCTGTAATCTCATCAATAACCACCGGTACCAATTCATTGATAGCTTGCACGACGCGGCTCTGCCCTTGGAGTGTGTGCTGTGCGGGGTGATCGATGTACTGGAAGAGTGGATGGCTGGTGGTGTTGATGGTGAAAAAAGAGATGGGGAAACGTGGTCGTGGTGATTATGGTGGTGCCGCGGGTGACGAGAGAATGCGGAAAGAGGTCCCGCTTTCAGAAGAAGGGAACACATTTCACTGCAATAATTATAGACGTCCTAATTTTATGCCAATTCCACGCCCGGTGCGTGATCATGTGAGCACGCTGCGTCGTCTTTGTGGGTGGTAGTGGTTGTACAATGCAGGGAGTGTCTCGGGCTGCGCTTAACGGGGCTGGCAAGGGCTCTGCTCTGCAGCTTGTGTCTGCAGACATCCTCCTCCTGTAGACCAGCTCAGAGCAGCTCGCAATGACCAGTGTGATGAAGTGTGGGAAGTGTGGTGACGTGTGGTGAAGTGTGGTACAACTAACGCTGATGAACAAGTGGCCCACCAGTGGATTGACCATGGCTGACGACGACTATGATTACGAAAGCATAATTTAAGTATTATATATGTATCGAATGACATTTGTAACCGTACAATTAAAACCTGTCACTAACTCTTACAGTCTCGCGATTTAACATTCCATCTTGCACCTAGCTAAACGTGAGCTGATTCCAACGCTCCATCTCCACCATTGAAGTAATTTAGGAGCCATTTCTCGGGTTCCACTCCACCACAAAATCCTTCATCATCAGCCATCATTCCTTCGAGAGCGTAACCCCTACAGCCACTACATTTACCAGAATGTTGACACAATCCAGTATTCAAATCAGATCGCGACCATTAGATTTGTACACGCTCTGTTATAGCGCTCTTAAAATATATAATACAGAATAGGCGACGTTTGTGCAACGACCCTTCATCATAGCACACACATCATGGCAATGATCACGATCATTCTCACAATAACCCGTGACGCTTCGGCGTGCTCCCCGCTGTCGCACCCCGCAGGTTTGGCTCTCGGTGCTCTTCATCTTCCGCATCCTCGTGCTGGGAGCGGCGGCCGAGAGCGTGTGGGGCGACGAGCAGGCGGGCTTCCGCTGCAACACGCAGCAGCCCGGCTGCGAGAACGTGTGCTACGACGAGGCCTTCCCCATCTCGCACATCCGCTTCTGGGTGCTCCAGATCATCTTCGTGTCCACGCCGGCGCTCGTCTACCTGGGCCACGTGCTGCACATCATGCGCATGGAGTCGCGCCGGAAGGAGGAGCTCGAGGAATGGCGGAAGCGGCATCCCGACGAGGACGAGGACGACTGCAGGGCGCTCCTCGACGGCGCCAAGGGCAGAAAGGGCGGCCCGCCCAAGTCGAGGAAGACCTACGTGAGCGACCAGGGCAAGGTCTGCATCAAGGGCGCCTTGCTGCGCACCTACGTGCTCAGCATCTTCAGCAGGACCATCTTCGAGGTGGGCTTCATCGTGGGCCAGTACTTCCTCTACGGATTCAGCCTGGGGCCGCTCTACCGCTGCAGCAGGAGCCCGTGCCCCAATGTGGTCGACTGCTTCATCTCGCGTCCCACCGAGAAGACCATCTTCATCCTCTTCATGCTTGTGGTGGCCTGCCTCTCGCTGCTGCTCAACCTCTTGGAGATGTACCACCTGGGCTGGAAGAAGATCCGCAAGGGGCTCGGCAAGCGCTACGAGAAGATGCAGCAGCAGCAGCAGCAACAGTCCGCGATGAAGCACCACCCGCCCTCGCTCGACCAACACTCGGTGAAGACCTCCTCGCAGCCCATCTCCTACACCTACTACCAGCCGCCCACGGACGAACGCAACTACGACCCGCCGAGTTTCCGCACGGCGACCAGAGACCCCGTCGCGGGGGCCCGTCTCGTCGCACAGGGCGTGGACGGGCAGAATTGGGCCAACTGGGAGGAGGAGGAGAGCCGACGGGGCGCCGCTCGGGCCGCCACCGCCGGCGGCGAGGAGGCGAGGCACGCGGCTCACGCGCCGCACCTCGTGAGCCGCGGCCTCGCGATGAGCACTCCGCCGCACGGCGCTCCTCCTCCAGCCACGTCGTCGTCGTCACCGCCGCCGCTGCTGCTGCAGCCCTGGGCCGCGTCCTCTCCTGTCGCCTGTGCCTCCTCCTCCTCCTCGGCCGCCGTCGCCGCCGCTCTGGCTGCGGCTCTGGAGGACGAGGCGGAGGTTCTGACGGCTACGGTGCAGATGCACAAGCCGCCTCTGCGTGACGCGGGAGGCGAGCACGACATCGACTTGAGGAGGTTGAGCAGGGCGAGCAGTCGGGCGCGCTCCGATGACCTGCAGGTGTAGCCCCCCCCCCCCCCCCACGTTCTCTCCGAGGGTCCGCCTCGACTCAGCCGCGCGTGGCGCTTTTCAGAGTGACCATTTACATACATTTTTTACCGTGGGATTCTCATTTATTTGAATCAATCATGGTTCCAATGTTGATCAAGGTGGGCCCTTTTCCCCAAAAATTTTAATCGCTTTCTCCATTTGCGAGCTTCAGTCCAGACTCTGCAAGACTTCTTGAAGCACCTCCCATTAGCACTGTTGGCTACGTACGGTGCGAAAAAAGTTCAACATACATCCAAGCAGATTAAAGGACTGCATTGGCACACAACCATAGGCAGACAACAATATACCCGGTCGTGTCGAGAGGGAACCGTTTGTAACAAAGGCGATAAATTGACCGACTTCATCGCTGGAGAGAGCCAGGGACGGTGAACATCCTGTTACCTACGTGTCTTTACCGAAAAAAAACCTAAGAATATGAATCCTGTTGTGGAATTAGAAAAAAAAATCGGAAGGTTTTTAATAGATTTAAATTCGCAGAGAGTGGGTATACAATCCCTTCAAGAGTGACACATGGATAATTAAACTGGCTTACACACAAAAAATTGCATCAACATGTGACACGCAATGGTCTGTCAAGCACGTTCAGCCGCGTGGATGGATCACAACTCGGCCAAGTGACACATTCCTGGAGAGACAAAGAGTCGATCCCTCGCCGCGACGATTGTTGTCGACGCCTCTCCCTCCCTCTCACAGGTCAGATCGTACGGATAATGTTGAAGTTGGCGGGTTCACATTCCGTAAGATGTGGTGCCGTGAGCTCACCGGAGCCCGAGAGCTCCACGTGCTCCTCCATCAACGCCGCGCCGGCCACTCGACGCGTCACGCCGAGTCGGCGTTGGCCGTCGTGGTCCCACGGCGTCGCCTTGCCAGAGACCGCAGTGTGGTGGTGGTGGTGGTCTGCGTCATTAAGACGTTTTATCGGCGTCAATAAAGTTATACAAATCTAATCTTACACACACACCCGATTATAATACGCACCCCTTCCCCCAAAATTAGCTTTAAAACACAGTGGGGGGGGGGGGGGGGGGGGGGGGGGGAGTGCATCGTGTAATCGGTATCGTGCACGGTAACACACGACCGTCTGGCGGAGCGAGCTATCTGGCAGCAGCAGTAGACACGGCAATGTCGAGGCGGTATAAAGGATGAGCTCACAGGCTAACACCATGGACCACGTGAACAGCCACTGATAGATGAGGGCCGCCCCACTCCCTGAGGGTCGTAGGGTTCACTTGACCAGACTCCACGATGGTCAGCACGGGTCGCCGTGGGCGGGTAGATACCGCAGCAGCCTGTAGCACCTGTGGATGCATTAGAGTCGCACGTCCGAGCACTATCCTGGCCCAAACCTGCTTTGGCTGTGTGCGGTAAAGTCAATTTCACTTCTGTGTTCACACCTCCCATGCACCCTCCCCCCACCCGCCTGAACCAACCCGCATGAACCAGCGTGGTGAAGTATGCTCAAGCATCCCCAGTGACCCGCACGGCGTGGGTTAGCCCCTCGTCCAGCAGTGCAATGAGAATGGGCTCGAGATGTCGATGTAATTCTTCTGTGCAGAGCAGCACTGTAGGCTAAACGCAAGCACTTGTGACTCTTGGTTGTGCTATTTGTTTAGCATGGCACGTGTGCGTGTGTGTGTAGCTCTGTGTAGATGTGGTGGGGAGCGTGGGGAGTGGTGGTGAGCGCTTCGCTGCGCTACGAACCCCGGGTCTCCCCTAGGTCGACTCAGCCTCAAATGAGTACCTGGTGCAGTGTATAAAAGCGTGGTGCTGGCCACCCAAAACCTCGTGTGTCGCGCAGGCCGTGCCGGCCTTCACAGGTGCTTGCAAACACCGCTTGCCCCAACAGTCTGCTAAGGCTATACGGGGGGGGGGGGGGGTCTTTGTAACATGTCCATACGCAGCGCCTAATTTCTGGGGCGTTGGTCTGGAAAATGTTGGCACGCCACATCCGTCTCACGACATCTCGTCCTCACATTTGTTATAAACCTGTGCATAAGATTACAGGAATTATAAGGGTACAGTAATACAAGATTATCACTGTTAGACATACTTTGTACTCTCGTGGTAGTGCCTTACGCCGATAATTATCCTTACTCTAAGCCAGCCCAGCAGCATTTCAGAAAATATCTAGCGATAAATTAATCTCTGCGTGTATATATATACACACCCACACGTTGTTACTGATATGCATAATCGAGTGGCTGTCTGCACAAGAGCAGGGACAGGGCGACGAGTGGATGCACACAGCATCGCGTGCACTGGGCGTGGGCAGTCGGAACACCGCGATTGACGACCACCCTGGTTCGACTACCGACTGCGGTGCACAACGTTGGTAAATGGTAATCTAATCATGCTCTGGGTGTCCCGTAGGTTGACTCAGCATTAACTGAGTACCCGTATCCAAAGTTACAATTGGGATACATTTAGAGACAAAGGCGGCCGAGGAGTGCGTGGCGTGTGCGCTGCGTTCGTCACTCGCGTTGCGCGCTGTGCCACTCGCGTTGTGTGCCACTCGCGTTGTGCGCTGTGCCACTCGCGTTGTGTGCCACTCGCGTTGTGCGCTGCGCCGGCTTCAGTCTAACAGCGCCGCGTGTCCCGGCTCAGGAGCGGCCTTTGTTGTATGTGCGACTGTACAAATTGGCCATGAATGCAGCCTTATTCATAACGTGTTACGGGCTAAACTTCAGGAATGTTGTCGATACTAGATCGTATTAATAGCCGTAACAATCAATGTAAGACGTAAAGTAATGAAAACGAATGTAAATTAAAAAAAATAACTATCGATAAGGAATGTTTACCATGGCCACCTTATAGCCACCAAGGCGACCACACGTACAGCAAGTGGGTTGCCAGCCCCACGTTTGTGCATCTCGAGTCTTCGCCTCTCGTGCGAGTGAGGGGGTCATCGTTTCTCCCACGTGTACTTGAAGAAAGAAAAAAGCTCCAAAAAAAAGGAGTCTGGTACAAACATCCCCATCGACAGGGAGCACCTCCCTGTACGACAGACACGAAGTGAATGCTTGTCTCTGTCATTAAATACCATCTGTGAGCATCACCACCACCATCACCGCAGTACTTACAGGGTTGCGATGCGCAGTGTGTCCTCGAAATACTGGGCTCAATCAGCGGTGGGGTTACATCGGCTATATATAAACATTCATCTGTTTTTTTTTATATAAATATCCGTTATTCCCACGAAGACCAAACTTATATCATGTCCCCTTTTTGACATCGCCATTCAAATGCCTTTTGTGACATTAAATTATATCTTAGAACAACGTCAATATATAGAAAAACAGAAAGGCAAAGAAACCAGCAATGCAACTACCGAAACATCGCTAAGCACAATTCTGGATCGCACGATCCAACACTTGCTACAGCACTGACAGTCGCTCCCCACGGTGTGTGTGCCTTGCCACCAGCTCATAAACACTCACAGCAGTTCGTCTCGAACTGCTTCGAGTGTTTAGTTTGTTGTCCTTCCCCAGCAACTCCGATTAGCGCGGTTCAACACACGTACGTAAACGTCGCGTCTCTGTGCAGCGTGGAGACTCGGGTGAACAACAAGCCAGCCACGACACCATCTGGACACACGATCGACAATAGAACCGTGGTCTTTAAAGGCACATAATTGGTGACGTCTCGGACGATGACTCCTCTCTATCGCACAGCAAGGGACATTGCCAGACACGTCGTTGATTGTTTGTATTTCCTTGAAGGCCGCAGGGTCATTTGCGAATGTGTTGAATTTGCTTTTATTTGTACGTGTCCACCACTGCCAAGACAGGCAGCAGTGTCACCAAATAGTTTGATTAACAATTAGTCAGCACTGCTTTGCACGATGTTCAATCAGGGTGCCACGGTGGCTAGGAGATGCTAACTACCTCGCCTGGTCCACAGGAGGTCGTGGGTTCGACCCCGACCCTGACGCCTGCTGCTGTATATCTGTAGTCTGCGTGTCTCTCTCCCCGTGGTCGCGTTGACTTTTCTCCGAGCCCTGCAGTTTCCCCTCCACATTTAGAATCAACATGTTAGAGTATTTGGCTGCTATAAATTACCACATATTAAGCTACTTCGTGGAACTATGATATCTTGACCAGTTTCAGTTTTCTAGAATCAAGAGTTACGATTTAATTTCCATTTGTTCCTTCAGAAATCCCACCCAAAAAACGCGATTTATCCACCCATGTTATTTCGAGGCCACTGTATAACATAAATATATGATTACGCATATCAAATGTCTTGCCAAAAATGTTGTAATTTCAAAGATGTTGGATCTATGCACAAATGTAATGCATTTTAAATAATGTACTTACGTCTAGGAAAGCCTAAACAACACACGTGTTTCAGCACATGGGGAAATCAACATTGGTATCGTAAAAAAATAACGTTTGCACTGCTACTCTATGTTAGTATTCCTAATTTAATATGCACTAATTGCTTAATACTTGACAAACGCAACGTATATTTAGTATGCAAGCTTTAACTGTGTGTTGCCTTATCTCCGGTGTCCGGTGATTGAAATGAGCGTGAACATCTTTGCGAGTTAAAGGCGCAGCCCTGCAATCGCTTGCTCGCGCCACTGCTGCCAGAATGCGGCCTCTACTCGAGGGGGGGCCGGTGTGCGCTTCCTAGAGAGCACTTGGCCGAATCTCCCCCCTGAGCAGACGTCCTGTACCCCGTCGCACACGAGCTGTCGATCGACTTCACCGCATTCGTGCGCATTGCATTTGCACGCTTTGCATGAGACAATTGTAGAGTATACATGTCTCGTGTGCATTACCTGCAGTGTAATACTGTACTGCGTGTTACCATCACTGCCTGGATTGACAACAATCGATATCAGGGATGACCTTCGTGTGTATGGAGTCACATATGCAATGAATATCACGGGCCACTACTTTTTGTACAGAAATATCAACTCGACCTCAAGAGCAACCGGGCGATGGGTGAGATCGACAGCTCGCTCGTGGGATGTTGGGTTGTACCGCGTGGAGTTCGGCACGACTGTCCGAAGTTTCGCTCCACGCGTGCTGGAAGCTTCATCAGCAACACTGGACCTTTCAGACTGCGCCTGCCATCAGTACAGGATGTTTGGTCTGACACGTGACTATTTGTGAAGCGTCATATCCTACGATGTTCTGCAATAGATCATAGCACAGCAAACGACAATAAGATATAATCAAAGACGATTAAGAATCGCTCAGCTACTGGTCAACGAGGTAGCATGGCATTGAACACTCGTTACGACCATGCAAACGAGGTGTTGAGACTTGTGATGTTTTTAAAACGCGGAGTTCCCCCCCCCCCCATAATTGCTTTCGCCATCCTGTTGTGGCACAAGACGAAGACAAACGTCGCAACGTTCTGGAGACAGCAGCATGCCAGCTGATGTTCGAGAAGCAACGTTCTGGAGATAGCAGCGTGCCAGCTGATGTTCGAGAAGCAGCCTCGAGAAGGTGGCGTCACAGAACTGCCGTGTGAGGCTCCTCGAATCGCTTGTTTGTACTCATCAGCTGGTGCACGTGTTGCACGAAGAATGCGCATCACGTGCCAAACAAACCAAGCACGATACATTCCTATAGCCAGAATAAAGCCTCGTCAAGTGAATGAAACCAATTGTGACGAGATGGGGTTTTTTAAACATGCTTTTTTTACGCAGCCAAATGTCGACTGGTAAGCAACTCGCTCCGTAGCTACGTGCAGGCCGGTGCTGCGCCCAGCCTTGTGCCACGCGGAGACAGCTGCCACTGGGGGTTCCCCTGGGCTCGCCTGCAGCAGGCGGTACATTTGAGTGGTTGACATTGGACGTGAAGTTCGGCTGAGGCATGTAAGCAAGCGTCCACGCACAGTAAGGCCAAATTCGGAATCCGGGTTTCATCACGTGCAGTTGTAACAACGTGGATTCGAACTCGCAACGTTTCTCACTCAGATCCATCGACTCGGTGCTCTGAGATGGTGAGCGCTGATCTTGATCCGGGTTCGGGCTTTCTTTTGAAGAAGACAACACTGAGTCTGCTTTGCTAGTTCATAGGCCTTGCACGTGTGGTTTGGTTAACACCGCAATAGTTGAGATGCGTTTGCACCAAAGTACTAACGTCAAACGGTTGCTATTATTGTTATTCTTGGGTCTTTCGGTAAAGTCACGTAGATAGGTTCGAACCTATCTACGCTACTTTACCGAAAGACCCAAGAATATGAAGTTCTGCAGTGTCACGAAAGCTTCAAGTCGAGATTTCCATTTATTGTTGTTGATTGTTTTTCTCTCATTTTACAATAAAACATAAACTCGATTATATATTGTTCTCGCCGTGTTTGTTGCAAGCCCAGCATGCGTTAAGAACCATTCAAGCCGTGCGTATCGGATTTGCACAATGCTTTGCTAAGCACTCCGTTTGTGCCTTGACGTGAGCTGAGCTACTTTTGATGAAATCCTTTTAATTAAGAAATAAAATCACGAAATCCTTTTCAACAATTCCTGCTGTGGTCTCTGCTCGGAACTCTTCTTGGGTGCTTGATTTCCGTCACTATTCAGCGGGGACATCCAACAGTGGTTGTCCTGTGGATGGTGCGTCCTCGCCCCCGCCATATGAATGTAGAATTTCCACCACCGACTCTGTAAAACGGGAGTTTTCACTTTCACCTTTTTTTTGCTTGAGTCATTGCTACACGGCTGTAGGTTATGAAACACGTACACAAACAGCGCCGTTGTCAATCCACTGATGGATGAGGGCATCCCCACTGCCTTGCAGGCAGTTAAAGGTCTATTAACCATACTTCACCACTCAGGTCAGTGCGTGTTACTTTAAGTGGGGGGTGGGGGGGTAGGCCACACTCGGTTCAGAAATCACTCGGCCACTCGTGCGAACCGTGGCCTTGAGTCTCGCGGAGGTCGTGAGTTCTTAGTGGTTGTACTAGCGCAGGTCACGTGTTCATAGTGGTTGTACTAGCGCAGGTCACGTGTTCACAGTGGTTGTTCTAGCGCAGGTCACGTGTTCATAGTGGTTGTTCTAGCGCAGGTCACGTGTTCACAGTGGTTGTTCTAGCGCAGGTCACGTGTTCATAGTGGTTGTTCTAGCGCAGGTCACGTGTTCATAGTGGTTGTTCTAGCGCAGGTCACGTGTTCATAGTGGTTGTACTAGTGCAGGTCACGTGTTCATAGTGGTTGTTCTAGCGCAGGTCACGTGTTCACAGTGGTTGTTCTAGCGCAGGTCACGTGTTCATAGTGGTTGTACTAGCGCAGGTCACGTGTTCACAGTGGTTGTTCTAGCGCAGGTCACGTGTTCATAGTGGTTGTTCTAGCGCAGGTCACGTGTTCACAGTGGTTGTTCTAGCGCAGGTCACGTGTTCATAGTGGTTGTTCTAGCGCAGGTCACGTGTTCATAGTGGTTGTTCTAGCGCAGGTCACGTGTTCATAGTGGTTGTACTAGTGCAGGTCACGTGTTCATAGTGGTTGTTCTAGCGCAGGTCACGTGTTCACAGTGGTTGTTCTAGCGCAGGTCACGTGTTCATAGTGGTTGTTCTAGCGCAGGTCACGTGTTCACAGTGGTTGTTCTAGCGCAGGTCACGTGTTCATAGTGGTTGTTCTAGCGCAGGTCACGTGTTCATAGTAGTTGTTCTAGCGCAGATCACGTGTTCATAGTGGTTGTTCTAGCGCAGGTCACGTGTTCATAGTGGTTGTACTAGTGCAGGTCACGTGTTCATAGTGGTTGTTCTAGCGCAGGTCACGTGTTCATAGTGGTTGTTCTAGCGCAGGTCACGTGTTCACAGTGGTTGTACTAGTGCAGGTCACGTGTTCATAGTGGTTGTACTAGCGCAGGTCACGTGTTCATAGTGGTTGTTCTAGCGCAGATCACGTGTTCATAGTGGTTGTTCTAGCGCAGGTCACGTGTTCATAGTGGTTGTTCTAGCGCAGGTCACGTGTTCATAGTGGTTGTTCTAGCGCAGGTCACGTGTTCATAGTGGTTGTTCTAGCGCAGGTCACGTGTTCATAGTGGTTGTTCTAGCGCAGGTCACGTGTTCATAGTGGTTGTACTAGTGCAGGTCACGTGTTCATAGTGGTTGTTCTAGCGCAGGTCACGTGTTCACAGTGGTTGTTCTAGCGCAGGTCACGTGTTCATAGTGGTTGTTCTAGCGCAGGTCACGTGTTCACAGTGGTTGTTCTAGCGCAGGTCACGTGTTCATAGTGGTTGTTCTAGCGCAGGTCACGTGTTCATAGTAGTTGTTCTAGCGCAGATCACGTGTTCATAGTGGTTGTTCTAGCGCAGGTCACGTGTTCATAGTGGTTGTACTAGTGCAGGTCACGTGTTCATAGTGGTTGTTCTAGCGCAGGTCACGTGTTCGTAGTGGTTGTTCTAGCGCAGGTCACGTGTTCACAGTGGTTGTACTAGTGCAGGTCACGTGTTCATAGTGGTTGTTCTAGCGCAGGTCACGTGTTCATAGTGGTTGTTCTAGCGCAGATCACGTGTTCATAATGGTTGTTCTAGCGCAGGTCACGTGTTCACAGTGGTTGTTCTAGCGCAGGTCACGTGTTCACAGTGGTTGTTCTAGTGCAGGTCACGTGTTCATAGTGGTTGTTCTAGCGCAGGTCACGTGTTCATAGTGGTTGTTCTAGTGCAGGTCACGTGTTCATAGTGGTTGTTCTAGTGCAGGTCACGTGTTCGTAGTGGTTGTTCTAGCGCAGGTCACGTGTTCACAGTGGTTGTTCTAGCGCAGGTCACGTGTTCATAGTGGTTGTTCTAGCGCAGGTCACGTGTTCACAGTGGTTGTTCTAGCGCAGGTCACGTGTTCACAGTGGTTGTTATAGTGCAGGTCACGTGTTCGTTGGCTAAAAACTCAACAGAAGCGTCAATAAGAGTGTTTTATTAAAGGAATAAATATATATACTATTTGAGACGTTTCGGTCAATGACCCTTCTTCATAGCACATACAAATACATGTAAAAATATTAATAGATATTGGTATGCGCCTTTGCCCTCAACGTCGCCGATTATTTCTTTCCCTTCAAGGCAGTCTTATTTTCCTGGCATAGCGACATCCGTGTCGAGTGTCATTGATGCACGTGTTGAGTTGTGAGCTGTTCACTGCGCTTGTGCACCACTGCCAAGGTAGCGGCAGCAGCAGCAGCAGCCAACATCACATAAATCATTGAGTTCATTGTCCTTGCCCTTGAGCGCAGGAGAAAGTGACCAAACGGAAACTTTCTCAAAAGTCCCATCGGAGAGTCCAATACCGCGACCAGGAAGGAATCCAATCGGAGACGAGTTTAGGGCGCAGCGCGTGGAGTGTCTCATCGACCTCGCCGGCTCAAGACGACGCAGACAATTGGGCTCGAGTCCAGCTGTTATCTGTTCTTCGCCCGCTGCTGCCTGGCTCGGTGTTCCCTTGAGCACCCCGGTGGTCACGGGTCCAGGTCATACCCCTCGACCCCCTCGACCCTCTCCAAACGCTGACGCGAGCGCGCCGCATTCCGCCACGCGCCGCCGGTGACGCAATAAACACACACACACACAATAAACACACACACACAATAAACACACAATACATACACACACAATAAACACACACAATACACACACAATAAACACACACACAATACACACACAATAAACACACACACAATACACACACACACAATAAACACACACACAATACACACACACAATAAACACACACACAATACACACACACAATAAACACACACACACACAATACACACACAATAAACACACACACACACAATACACACACAATAAACACACACACACAATACACACACAATAAACACACACACAATAAACACACACACACAATAAACACACACACAATAAACACACACACATAATAAACACACACACAATAAACACACACACACAATACACACACAATAAACACACATGCAATAAACACACACACACAATACACACACACAATACATACACACACACAATAAACACACACACAATAAACACACACACACAATAAACACACACACAATAAACACACACGCAATAAACACACACACAATAAACACACACACAGAATAAACACACACACACACAATAAACACACACACACAATAAACACACACACAATAAACACACACACAATAAACACACACACACAATAAACACACACACAATAAACACACACACAATAAACACACACACACAATAAACACACACACACAATAAACACACACACACAATAAACACACACACACACAATAAACACACTCACAATAAACACACTCACAATAAACACACACACACAATAAACACACACACAATAAACACACACACACAATAAACACACTCACAATAAACGCACACACACAATAAACACACACACAATAAACACACACACAATAAACACACACACAATACACACACACACAATAAACACACACACACAATAAACACACTCACAATAAACACACTCACAATAAACACACACACACAATACACACACACACAATACACACACACAATAAACACACACAATATACACGCACACACATAATAAACACACATACATAATATACACGAACACAAATATATATACACCAACAATATTTTTACACACAATCTACACACAATAAACACGCACGCACACAATATACACATAATATCTAAACAACACACACAATATACACACAATATACACACAATACACACACAATAAACACACGCACAGAATATATACACAATATAAACGCACACAATATACACTCACACACAATATACACGGACACACACAACACACACAATATACACGCACAATACACACATACACTATACACGCACACACACAACACACACACAATATACACACATAATATATTCACACATAATAAACACGTACACACAATATACACACACCACAATACACACACAATACACACACACAAGACACACAATACACACACACAATACACACACACAATACACACACACACTACACACACACACAATATACACACACACAATACACACACAACACACACACAACATACACACACACTTAGTAGACACAGAGAGTGAGACAACAAAAACACACACACAACACACACACAATATACACACACAACACACACACACACAACATACACACACTTAGTAGACACAGAGAGACACAACACACACACACTTATTAGACACAGAGAGAGAGAGACAGTTTAACACGTAGTAAGGCTTTCGCGACCAATATTATTCATAATAAACGTTTTGGGTTAGATCGCGTTATTTATAAATGTGTCGTAACCCTCCACCACCCGACACGGCCAATCAGCAAAAAAGTGTCACGTTGACAAAAGACAAATAGTTCACTACTTTAGCCCACCGGTATGTTGAAGAGTGAAACCACAACATTTACAATGCCATGTTCTCTGTCATTTTGGAGCTGCGCAAGCCTCTCCTCAGCGTGCCTGGCAAAGTGATGTTGAATAATCCTTGGTCAGGAGCGTGCACACAAACA